GAGAGGGTAAGAGATCAACCAAAGGACTTGTATGGAGGCATATAAGCATAACCAATGGACACAGACAGTAGGGGGGTGAGTGCATGTACTGAGGGGTGGGGGTGTCCGGGGAGAGGTCAATGGGGGGAAAAAGAAGACTTATGTAATACTTTAAACAATAAATAATTTTTTTAAAATAGATGCAATGGGAAAGTAGAACAGGATTATAAAAAAAATAGCTGATGAGAAAAACATTTACATAAACACCACACACAGAGTTCTCAGTATCATTTCAATAAATAAATAATGCTTTTTGCAATTCATAGGAAAGTAAAATACCTTTCTAATTAAACCTGAAATTTGTGAAAATATGGTCTGCAAAAAAAAATATGCTCATGAAGTAAAGTCAAAGGCTGAGGTTATAAATTTCTAAGAGGCCACAGGAAATCTGCAAACCATCTACTACACTTGAATTCTATTTTCTTGCTCTCGAAGCATCAATACCACCACTCATTCCTACTTTTTCTCCTCTCTAGGGCTTAATCCAGTTGGGTGGGCCAGATAACCAACACCTGACAGGTGGGCAATAAGATCCAAACATAGAGTTCCACCTCTTTACAGCTACCCTGAGCAAACCACCTGGGTCAAAATGTTCTATCCAGTATAGGACTCCTCAGGCACATTGACCAGTTCAACTTTCAAGTCTTTAAGTAATTGATGGAGCTTAAGCGCATATAGCAATTTACTACAGCTCTACAAAGTACTGAAAGAATTAAACATTGAAAATAATTGGTGATAAACTCTTAAAGGTAGTTCTCTTTAATGGAGTCTAATGAAAAGACTGAGGTCTACCATCCTCAGTTCTAATTATAAAGGGAAGTCCCTAAAGATAACCATTTATTGTGCAAGGGGAAATAGTTCTGCCAGAAGAAGTCACTGTCTTAGTCACAGTACAATTGGAGGGGAAAATCAGTTTTTCTGGACACTGTGGGGGAAGAACAGACAGGAGAATTTTCTAGATGAAAATAAACTCATTGAATCACCCTGGGATTATATAAAAAATTTTTATTTTATTTGGGCTTTAAATCTCTCCTGGTACTAAATGATGGTCTTTTAAGAGGATAATCAAAGAAATTAAGGAGCCTTAACACTGATGGCATTATCAAGCTAGAAACAGAAAGTTGATTTCCATCCGCCCCCTCAAACCATACCAGGGCTTTAGAAATCATGCCCATATCCCATCTGAGGGATGGTCAATACATGGCATTTATGCTGCTTCTCTCAACTCTGATGCCCACAGAAAACACAGAAAGTTGTCTTGTCATCAATTTTACTCCCTGAGCCTAGGCAGGGTCTGAGCCCAGTTCACAGAATGATACAGGTTGCCACTCTAACTGAACAGAATGGCCAAGGGATAACAATTTACCAGCCATGCTGTGGGCTTAATAGGACATCAGGCCATTCCCACAAGGTTGCAAGGTTCTCCTAATACCATAGCACACGTCCTTTCC